CCCCCCCCAACCCCCCTTTTCCCACTGTACAGTTAAGCCAGGCATAAATTATATTAATTGATTTAATCACATACTTAAAACATCTTCCCCAATTAATTTAATTAGATGGCTACATGAAGCTACTGGCAGGGGAAGATTAGAGGCTGATCACTTAATTAACAGAATATGAATGAAAAAAAAGGGGCGAGAGAGAGAGAGAAAGCAAACATAAATGAAATGGTGAGCACTAATTAAAAGCCTGTCTGCAAACTTAAGTACTTTCTGACAAAGTAGGGACTGCCGCAGAGACAAGCGATTCTTTTCTCGCCCCTCTATAACAAATCAAGTGCACAGTAAAGGTGTAAGGAGAGTTGGGAGGAAGGAACAGAGGGAGAAAGGAGAGGCGGGGGGGGCAGTGTGGACTTCAAGGCAAAGGCAAACACAGAGCGGCTGCCGAAAACGGGAGTTCTGGGTTGTGTCCAGTGTTGCCTCTAAGCTGAGTTAGTGTGAGCCAGCTCACAGTTCTCTCGCCTCCGGCTCACACATTTTTGTCTTAGCTCAGGAAGGGATGCCTCCAGAGCCAAACTGATTGATGCAGCAGCCAAATCGCTCGCTCACAACTTTAATGCCAGTAGCTCACCGAGTAGAATTTTTGCTCACAAGACTCCACCACTTAGAGGGAGCATTAGTTGTGTCCTCCCACTGTAGGGGACGAAAAAGTCTCATAATGATACAAAGCTGTTTCCGGGTTTGGAGGGGTCCCGGGCACAGAGTGCCCGGGGGCCCCTTCCCTTCTTCTGCCCACCACCAGCCCCCTCCTCACTGGCACTTCTCTTCCCAGCGAGCCACCTTCCTCTGCCCATGACCACCACCACCCCGGGACACCGTTTCTTCAATGGTGCATTGCTGGGAGCACCACTGTCCCCAAGACAGTAGGGAAAAGTAAGAGTCCGGGAGCACCTTTAAGACTGACAGGATTCGCGGCAGGGGAGGAGCTTTCGTGACTCACCGCCAGGGCTTTTTTTGTAGAAAAAGCCCAGCAGGAACTCATTAGCATAATAGGCCACACCCAACAGCAGAAATTCATTTGCTTATTAGGACACACCCCTGACAGCACAGCTCATTACCATATTAGGCCACACACCCCATGTTTGCAGAAGTGTGGTCATCCAGACACACTCACCTTTTGCTTCTTATTCTGTTGACCTTGTTTGTGGTCAAAACCCAGGGATTTTTTATAGCAGGAACTCCTTTGCATGTTAAGCCACACACCACTAATGTAGCCAGTCCTAATGGGTTTCTGCTGTTGGGTGTGGCCTATTATGCTAATGAGTTCCTGCTGGGCGTGGCCAACTCAGCCAGCCGGAACTCCGTTCCTGTGCGTTCCTGCCCAAAAATAGCCCTGCTCACCGCTCAGACAGAGCATCACTGCCACACACATCAGAACGTAAGAGAAGTATTGCTGGATCAGGCCAGTGGCCCATCTGGACCAACACTGTGTCACACAGTGGCCAGAACCCAGGTGCCATCAGGAGGTCCAGCAGCAGGGCCAGAACTCCAGAAGCCCTCCGACTATGCCCCCCCCAAGCAGCCAGAACACAGAGCATCAGTGCCCCAGACATAAGAACATAAGAGAAGCCAACGCTGGATCAGGCCAGTGGCCCATCCAGTCCAACACTCTGTGTCACACAGTGGCCAGAACCCAGGTGCCATTAGGAGATCCACCAGCAGGGCCAGAACTCCAGAAGCCCTCCCACTATGGCCCCCCAAGCACTAAGGATACAGAGCATCGCTGCCCCAGACATAAGAACATAAGAGAAGCCAATGTTGGATCAGGCCAGTGGCCAATCCAGTCCAACACTCTGTGTCACACAGTGGCCAGAACCCAGGTGCCATCAGGAGGTCCACCAGCAGGGCCATAACTCCAGAAGCCCTCCCACTGTGGTCCCCCAAGCACCAAAGCACCAAGAAGACAGAGCATCACTGCCTCAGGGTATGCAGACACTGGCCTTTTAATGATGTCACGTCCAGGGTTCCCTCTAAGCTGAGTTAGTGTGAGCCAGCTCACAGATTTTTAGCCTCCAGCTCACACATTTTTGTCTTATCCCAGGAAGGATGGCGCCAGAGCAAACTGATTTATGCAGTAGCCAAATCGTTTGCTCACAACATTAATGCCAGTAGCTCACCAAGCAGAAGTTGTGCTCACGGGACTCCACAGTTTAGAGGGAGCATTGGTCATGTCACACATTACATAGGGAATAAGGGAAAACTTGGCAAGGAATTGTATCGTCAGAGCCAACCCCAGGTTTGCCATAATGACTCCTTTACAGTGTCGGTGACATAAAATTCTGAGCGTTTTCCTGACAAAGGGATGAGACAAGTGAAGGTCTAAAGAAAAACTTCCAACTTCACATGGAAGGAGAAAGGAGAAAATTGTAGCCACAAAAGAGCTACACGTCTCGGGAAGGACGAAGCATGATGCTCAGACGTATGCATAGTTATGCAAAAAGGTAAAGAGAGAGGAATGTTTTATTGCGACAACTCAAGCAGAAGAAAGAGAGAGAGAGAAGAGGTTGGATTTATACCCCATGGCCCTTCAGTACCCAAAGGTGTCTCAGAGCGGCTGACAAACTCCTTTCCCTTCCCCTCCCCACAACAGACAGACACCCTGAGAGGTAGAAGAAGAAGAAGAAGAGAAGAGATTGGATTTATACCCCGCTCTTCACTACCCGAAGGAGTCTCAGAGCGGCTTACAAACTCCTTTCCCTTCCCCTCCCCACAACAGACAGACACCCTGAGAGGTAGAAGAAGAAGAAGAAGAGAAGAGATTGGATTTATACCCCGCTCTTCACTACCCGAAGGAGTCTCAGAGCGGCTTACAAACTCCTTTCCCTTCCCCTCCCCACAACAGACAGACACCCTGAGAGGTAGAAGAAGAAGAAGAAGAGAAGAGATTGGATTTATACCCCGCTCTTCACTACCCGAAGGAGTCTCAGAGCGGCTTACAAACTCCTTTCCCTTCCCCTCCCCACAACAGACAGACACCCTGAGAGGTAGAAGAAGAAGAAGAAGAGAAGAGATTGGATTTATACCCCGCTCTTCACTACCCGAAGGAGTCTCAGAGCGGCTTACAAACTCCTTTCCCTTCCCCTCCCCACAACAGACACCCTGGGAGGTAGACGGGGCTGAGAGAGCTCTTGACAGAAACTGCCCTTTTTCAGAACAGCTGTGCCAGAACTACACCTTTGCCCAAGGTCATCTAGCCAGGTGTGAGTGGAGGAGTGGGCAAGCAAACCTGGTTCTCCCAGATTAGAGTCTGTGCACTTAACCGCTGCACCAGACTGGCAGAGCGTGTTTGGAAAAGAAGCCCGCCTGGAACACCTGGCAGCACGGCCCACCTTGGCCCGGTCGTAGAAATTCTCCAGGTGTTTCTGCCGCGACTCCCATAGGGTCTTCCGGATCCGGCACATGTTCATGCGCACCAGCCACGAAATGGCAACCACGCCGGAGGCCCACTGCCTCCGCCGGAAATTGATGTAGGCCTTCCTGCGTCTGTAGCACCGCCACGTGGCCTGGATCTTGGTGGCGGCCGCTTCGGTGCCCTTCTGACCCTTGTACCTCTGGCCAGGTCGGTTTAAGAGCTTCCGGACGGCTACGTGGTTCTTGATCACGGAGAGAAGTTCTTCCCTGGTCGGCCTCTGGCGGAATTCGAAATCCAGGAGAAGCTCCATCACCTTCTTCCCCTTGATGACGGCCAAAGGCACGGCGTAATCTTTCAGAAGTTTGGCGACGTGTTCTAAGAAAGAGAGGGCGCTCCCCCAGAATAAGCAGCAGTGCTGTTTGAACGCTACAAGATCAGCAGCCTCCTGGTCTAGGTTTCCCTTGCGAACCAGAACATCAAATTCCACAGCCAGATTCTGGAAAGCTTGAGCAGTAGTCACTTCCGGCGTCTACGGAAAGAGAAGGAATCCATGTTTGCAGGGGTCATTTCCTGCCGGAGCGCACAGGAGC